CCCCCCCCCAGCCATGGGCCACCCACCTCGCCGCAGGGCCCACTGGCTTGTGAAGCCCTCAGCATCGCTGCTGCTGGTGCAGTGTTGGGGAAGTGCTCAGAAAGGGTTTTGTCAGCAGCCACGTGCAGCAGGAAGGACCCGTTCAGAGGCCGGGAGGTGGCAAAACCACAGAAAAGAGGAAGCGTTCGAGTGACCTTGCCTAGCACCGTGAGCTGCCAGCCGGGCTCGGCTCCTGTGACTGCCCGGGCACATGCAACGGGGCAGAGACACGATCCCTGGACGTGCTGTGAAGCTTTCCCTGGCCCGGTAAGTCTGCAGCCTGTGCCCATGCACCAGTGTCACCACATCCGGGGCCACTGGGCACTGCGATCCCGCGGCAGGGACAAGGGGCTGGGAGACAGGTCAGTGCCTGGCACTGCCGAGAGCTCAGTTCTGCTTGGACCCAGGAGCTCTGCCCCTGCAGCAGCCCCCCCAAAATTGGGGCAGCATCCCTTTGGCGAGGGAGCTGGGGAGGAGGGAGAAGAGCACGCTGCACTTTAAATCCAGGGTCAGCGACCGAATCCACCTCGAAAAAAAGAGCAAAAGAGCCTGAAGCAAACCTAAAACCCCATTTATTCCTTGCACTCCTATTTGGCCAGCAGAAAGGGACTGAGCAAGAAGCAGAAAGCTGCATGTGCTTTAGAAACAGCCTGTCAGAAATAGGCACCCCAAAACAGTGGTGAGGCCTTGGGCTAGGCTGTATCCCCACTCAGGGAGACAGCGAGGCATGTGGGGGCTCCCGGAGATCCAAGCTGGGGACAGCAGTGGAGAGTTGTGCATGTGGCTGGGGCTTGGCAGGCTGGGGGTCCGGGGGGGGGGCTGCGCTCAGCACAGTGCCAGAGCCCGGGGCGGGTGGCAGTGGTGGGTACCTGATGAGCTGGTCCTCTCCTGCGCCTTGCGTGGAGAGCACTGGAGCGGGCAGAACTCTCCCAACCCTCCTCTCCTGAGGACAGATATTTTTCTAAAGCCTGAACGTAACTCATGCATTTTCACCTGACCAATGGAGAAGGCAAGGGGGGGATTTTTTTTTTCAAAGCAAAGCTGAAGCAGGTTGGGTGCTGAAGCAGGGTAGCTTTTTCCACGAGGCTCCAAAATTGTGGCGGAAGCAGCAGCCCTTTGGCTGGCAGCGTGGCTTGGACATCTAACTTGCTCTGCAGAGGTTACCTTGAAGGGGAAACTGTCTCCAGTGCTGAACACCATGGGCAGCCTGCAGGCGCAGAGCCCTGCCAAAAAATCTGGCGGTGACCTCTGCAAAAATGCAGATGGCCCATATGGGTCGAAAACAGAGCTGGGAGAAAGTGCCAAACCCTGAGCTGGAAACACTGAGCTCCCAGAGCTGTGCCCTGTGGTCAGCGCAGCTCCCCGGCCATCCTGCTCCTTGCAGGAGCACGAGAAAAAGATGGCTAGTATCTGGCCGTGCAGCCGCAAGGAAATGGTATTGTTGAGATGGGCTCAACCTGGCCCAGTTGGTACCAAGCCGCCTCCTCTCAGCCTCCTCCTGGTCACCCACAGCCAAGGTTGCTGCTTTCTATTTCAATCAGCACGCGCAACCTGTGTTATAAAGCAAGCAACACCTCTAACCGAGGCAAACGGGCGCTGTGGCCAGGCAAGCACCAGTGCGAACGTGCATCGCCCACCGGATGGTGGGCGGGAGGCCGGGTTCCCACGTGCCGCTGGGCTGAGGCCTGCCAGCCAGGAGCACCGGGCCAGACCAGCTGCAGCAGAGCCACACGGCGCTATGCCAGCACCGCTGCCACTGGGCACCAGTTTGTCTGCCCTAGATTGAGGCCAGTGCAGGTTTCAAATGATGCCAGTGTGGCAAATCTGCTTGGCGCATCTGTCTAGAAATTCATGACACCCCAGAAATAAAATAAGATCATTTGGGGTGCCAAGGCTCCCCCTGACCCTGGGCACCCAAAGTCCTGAGGAAGCCCTGCCACCACTGCCAGCCAGTGTCCCAGGCAGGACACTCTGGCTCGAGTAGGGTTTCAGACCCCCCCCAGTTGCCCCCAGGGATGCCTGGTCAAGTGATCTGCTGGCAGGTTTCCTGCTGGGCCTTGGTATGGGTTTATTCAACATTTCACCCAGCTGCCCCTAGGTGCCTGTTTGAGTCAGCTCCCAGGATATTCCTCCCTGTGCTCTAATGTGGGTGCCATCCTGCAACCCCCTCCCCCCCACCCTGGCAGAACAGGGCATTTCTCCCCGCTGTGCTGCAGCAAGGCTGGCTGCGTTTCAAGCCCGACATGTCCCAGGCAAAGCAAGCATGGTGGAGCAGGGCTAGCCCCATTTTGGGGAAACTGAGGCACGGAGCAAGTAACTAATTAGGAGTGGTGCCAGTCAGTTGTGAAGTTGTGACGGGGGGACGGGTGTCTCCTGGCGGTTCCCTGCCCATCTGCTCTGTGACCCCCCCCTTCTGCAGCAGCCCCCTCCTCGCCCTGGAGACAGGCCCCACTCGGCAGTGTGCCAGGGTGACGCAAAAGATGGCCAAGCCATGGCGTGATGGAGCCATGTAAGCTGGCTCCTGCCGCTACCTAGCCCGTCAGCGTAGCC